TAAACAATACAACGGACTTTGATTGATTTGTATGGAGGAGTATAAAATGTAACACTGACTCTTAAGCATGTCTGTATTACAATGTATTGTGTATTGTGTAGGATCACGGTGCAATTTGTCGGGGGTTAGGGTTCTGTTTATACGAGCCCTTAACTTTGCAATCCAATTCACACTTTCATTTACATGTGCATTTATGTATTATGAACAAAACTTGAGTACGTATGCAGTGCCTCAGTCACCGTGTTCAGAACTGGAGAAAGCCACAGCTATAATATCACCGGATCTTAGTATAACTGTTGTTTTAACCTTGATGACATAGCCAAAAAATCTGAAATATACGTCAGAAGAGCTTATTATTTAGCAAAAATATTAGTAAATATCCAATCTCTTCAAAATTGACCAGTTTGTAAAACATAATATAAAAGTTAGAAAGGTGTTTACGTGAAGGCTTTTCAGTTCGATTACTGACAGACTTTTTGGGTGCATGTAAACGTACTGTAGCTAGTAATTTTTAAATATTCCCCCATACCTCTGTTTTTCAACAAATTGCCCCTTGATTAGGATGTTGGTAATAAAGGAAGAGAATTTTACAAAGAAATTCATACAGAATTCCATATCCCTACTGACACTCTTAGCACCAACTATCTCATTTAGACTTGTTACTAGAATTGATACCGACTCCTGTTTAACTGTATCCAACTCCATACGTGTAGAACACAGCTTGTCTTCTATTTTCTGCATGTCGCTCTCATGAACTGAGGATAGTTCACGAATCTTCCGATCTTTCTCCATAGATTCCTGATTGGCACACACAAAAGTATACAAGCGCCAACACACATAGATACACATGCATGCAGGTATGGGTACTCAGAATAGTTATTTCACTCATGAACACCACCATTAAACACAAAACACATACTGGTGGTTGCTAACATGTGGAACAAATGTTAAAGACAGCAGCAGAGGATTCTGGATATCCATCTGACCTGAATGAGGCTAAGGCTGGTATCTGTGGAGACAGACGAAGCTGCAATGGTGAAGCAAGAGCCAAGCCATGGCAAAAGGCGAGATTTCAGTGTGTCAACACCTGAATAATGTCCCCCTGAGGAAGAAAGAGGACAGAGAATCTGCTCGAATGTTATTGTTAAATGGTCAGTTAGAGGAAATAACCATGTCACATGCTAAAGGTGAATGAGATTATACTATTGAAATACTGAAAGTAAAGATAGGGGCAGGTCCATTTGTTACCTTCTTGTGCTGTAAGGTTGAGTATGGTGAACAATTGACCCTGAATTTTAGAGGTGAGCTCCACTAGCTCACAGCACCTATTCAGGTTCTGGTCACAAGAGAACACCTGTGAGAAAATATGACCAAAGGATGTTATAAGATGAGGTATAGCAAGTGAAGTAGCATTTGTGGAAACGCCCCCAAACTGCAACAATGGGCTGACTTGGATATCGCACTTCCTGATCAAGTAGTATGAAAACAATACCTTTTAATTTTTGGCATTGCAATAATGCGTTGCTAATAGTGACAAATAGGTATAAAACAACTCATTCTGATATTCCAAATTCTTTATATGCAAACTTTGTATTCATGTTTAAAAAAATAATAATAAAAATATCAAGAATCAGAAGTCATAGTTACTTCATTTGACCCGAACAAAATGTGCCTTTTTAATTTTTTTATTAATTTAAAACAATCAAACACCAAAACATTAACTTTTATTTTAAATGTAATTTTTAACTTACAAATTAAAACAAAATGGCTTCTTGTCACACTTATTTTGACGTGGTGGACAAACTTACAAGTAAAATTGCTTAATATTTTAAATAAATAGTAAAAGAGTATGTCAAACTACTACATTTCTCTTTTTTTAGGGTTAGGGTCCCTTATCAAGAGATGCCAACTAGACATTTTTGACCCACAAAAATATCCAAATTACTAAAAAAAAACATGTTTAGCATATAAAAAATAAATTAGGCTAATCTCTTCTCAACACATTCTATTTGACTTTCATTTCTTAACGTATTTTTTAGAATAAATGAATGATAAATAAAATAAACTACGCTTCACTGACCCATGTGTGGTTAAAATCAAAGTCCCTATAGATTGTAAATTTTGAAGATAAAATTTCATTACGCAAGAAGAGAGTAAACTCCTATGACTCCCTCCATTCAAAAACACAAGCCTGACGGGAGCGCGCACGTTTGCTCTCAGCCAATCAGAAGTGCTCAGGAATGGAGTACCAGTTGTCCTGACAACGAGCGTCCATAGAAACCAAACTCTGCCGCAAAAGCAATATAATAAAGCAAATATTCCAACTCAGGTCTGTTGTTATAAAAGCACAATGCAGGACACTACTGCGCATATTAATTCAGGATGCTTGGCAACTACTCCAGTATATTATGGCCATCTAACAACTGTAGGTTGCTGTGCATACCGAGTTGTGCAAATTCCAACAGCTGCATCTAAATAGTTTAAATACATGTGGTGAAAACAGTCCCCAGACAGAATCTCAAATACCACAATCTGAAATCAGTGAATCCTAAATTTGTGCACTTGATATTATACACATACCTGACTAAACAGAATGTAAAGTCTGTGACTATAGTAAACTACTATTGTGGTTTATCACAGACTAAGTGCAGCTTGAATTATTGATGACTTACATGATAGTCTTTGTACCAAGCTTCCAGTTTGTCCTGCAAAACGCCATATGGAGATGAGTTGACCAGTCGTCGTAAAGTGTCAGCCATAGCTGCAGATCTGCTGCTGTAATCCTGCTTCAGGACGTCCCAGCGCACTTAATGCAGCAGCGCGGTTGCGCTCTTTGTATTTATACCCCTAGTAAAAGCCCACCATTCACACCCTCGACTTTCACCGAAACCATGGACGCGCTTTTAGTTGTAGCAACGGTTTGCTAGACTTCACAGTTTGAGGAAATATAGCTGTGTATAAGCACAGTGTGGACAGCCTAAACCATACGAGCTGTTTTTTTTTAACACGGCATCTTATGTTACTCTCTGTCTGAAGGTGAAGCTCAGTTCTCAGTGATGAAATCTCACACTGTTAAGTGGGTGTCAGATGTCAAGTGCAGGAAGATCTTTATTTACATTCTCTTGAAGAACAGGTGAAATGCCCTAATTGATTTTCCATCATTTAACGTTATACCACGTGCCAAAGTTACAAGCCTCTGTCTGTCCTGATCTCAAATAAAAAAAAAATAATAATAATTTCAAGTATTGCATTGTAACTGTTGCATGACTTAATTTAATTATCCAGCAAGTGTGACCTAGTAAAACAAAGAGGTAACACATTGGTAAACACTAAAATAATTCAATAAACGTTAAATAAATAGCATAACTGCAACACAAAACACCCAAATGCACACATAACTGATCACTTTATATTTAAATAAATAAACAAACAGACTGTTTACGCAGGGAAATGTTACTTTTGCTATCAATAATGCTTTTGACTAATTAAAAACAATTTAACAATATTTTACTGTAATCTCTGAAAATTCTGAGGTAATTCGTATACTTTTAAATTAGAAAAAAAAAACATATTTAACAATATATTGTATGTGTCTTTTAATATATAGGTTGTCATATTCACCATTTGTTGTATTTATTTTATTTTTATTTTTTGTTAATACTACGAAAAAAAAATTTCAGTGTAAACAGAAATTTTAACTAAAAAAAATGTTGGAAATAAAGACAACAGAAAAAATATCATAGCAGGCGTTTCTTGTCATTTTCATTTTATGATATGCTCTGTCTTTATTTGTACTTTCCTTATACGGCGAGATGATGTGACTCACAACTGGCTCTTTATAGCGGAGGAACAAACCATCTTACATAGTTAGTGCTCCCTTAAAAGTAACTAATTTCTTCTTCAACACTGGCCTATATTTATGGGAAATTTCATTCTAAATTTCATTTAGCCAGGTTTGAAGTGTATAATCCATGTGAAGGTTTGGCTGTTTGAAACTATTGTTTGGATAACGGTTCTCTCGCAGTGGTTTCTCCTCAGGCTGTGTGTGAAGCTGTCCATACAGTGGTCTGGAGAGGGAGGGTCAACATGGCGTCGGAGCAGGTCTGTTTTCAATGTGAATTGTAAATGTTTTCTCTTTTGCCTTGCTTTTCAAGTGATTTTGAGCGTTAAAGCGAGCGATGTATAATAACTTTAAATTGGTAACGACGTCTATGGCGATGTATGTGAATGAATAACGATCATCTGCGCGATTTATGCCCTGTCCGTTTATGGACAAATTGACTCATTATTGCAGGGTTAGAGTTTGCTGTGGTTATACTGGATGGTGATGCTTTGGATCTTTAAAATAAAACCATTCGCTCGTGTTTATTACAGAGGAAAGGGCTGCGTGTCATTTATTTTTAGGCATACAGACACACGGACTCATCTACTGCATTCCTGAAGACAGCAACGCTGCTTTCTTTTTTAGCCGTCACACTAATAGCATGAATGTGTTTATAGTTAATTAATGTGTAGTGTTAGTTAATTCTAAAAGAATATGCATTTGGCTGGGGAAAAAGAGAAATTGTTGTTATAGGCTGAGATGTTATTTTTTGCATATTCCCACATCAGACAATCAGACTCCCTTGTACCGCAAGTAACTCAGGTTGAAAATCATTTGTCACTATTTAGTGCTCTATCCAAAATTATATATACTAAATAAATACTCCAAGAGATAAGATAGAACAAAATATTAAGTACTGAGAATATGAAGTATTATTACTACACACTGTAATACTGGTCCCAAAAGTATTACAGCATTTAAGACATGCTTAAAACTAACATTGAGTTACATAATTAAATATAAATGATTAAATGATAAAATATTAAACTGAAATGATATTTATTGTAAGCATATTCAAAATAGATATGCTAGGAATTAAATGATACAAAGTGATAAAATGTTATTATATAAAAGATATGTGCTGTTTAAATTCAAATTAAAAAGTATGTTGACATTATGTGGTTGTCAATCATTAGTGAACATGATAAAATGAACTATGCCGCTGGTTATTATGCTATTACACTTGTGTGAACTTGAGGATAACTGAGTTCATGTATCTGCTAAAAATTAACCTTGAAAACAGTTGCTCAGATGTATTTGGAAAATAAATTCTCAGAAAAATGAAACATTTTAAGTGTGGCTTAAGTATATGGGCTACCATAATAATTGAATACATACTGGCATAATTGATTTTACACCCAAATTCATCACTGAAGCCTAGAAAATATCTTAATTGCAATTTTGCAAATCATTTAAGTAAAGCTGAGTATTGCTATATTTTGAAGGGGTTCTTGTATGGTAATCCTCTTGTAGCAGTAATGGAGTGTCTAGTAAATGTGCAGTAGCAGACAATAATTGTACCAACTAATGTACCATCTTATTTTTCCTTATATCCACAGGAAATCCCAAATGCGCCGGTGAAGAAGTCTATGAGGGAGAAGGCTATCGAGCGCAGATCAGTTAATAAAGAGCACAACAGTAATTTTAAGGCTGGATATATTCCGATTGAAGAGGAGAGACTTCACAAAACAGGACTGAGGGGTCGCAAGGGCATCATTGCCATTGGCATAATCATCCTACTTTTTCTGCTTGCGCTCATCAACCTCATTGTGAGTTTATCGGTTCTTTGTTGGGTCTGTGATATTAATATGATAGGATATACTATAATTTTATACTATATATAAAATTAGCATCAAATAATTTTTGAAAAAAATATAAGACATTTTCATATAATTTGAGTTCCATCTCTACTGCTCACTGAATACCGAGACACTTATACATTATCTGTGTTTTATAGATAACACTGGTGATATGGACAGTGATACGGATAGGTCCTGGAGGTTGTGAAAGTATGGAGTTTCATGAGAGTGGACTGCTACGCTTCAAACAGAAGGCCGATATGGGCGTGGTCCATCCACTACACAAAAGCACAGTGGGCGGCAGGAAGGACCAGGACCTTGTCATTACTGGCAACAATAACCCAGTCAGTCAGCATAGTATCTGACTTTCTTTCAACAAGTCTGTATGCTCTGCACTGTAAAAAATAAGTGTAATTTTAATTGTAAAATTTTGTAAAAACGCTACGGAAAAAAACTGTTAATAGGTTAACAGTTAGTTCCCGTACTATATACAGGGAAAAACTGTAAAATATCTAACCAGACATTTCATGTAATTTTACAGTAAAGTGCTGTTAATTTTACAGTTTTTAGAAGTAAAAATAACAGATCAATGTATAATTTACAGTCAAAAACTGTAAACTGATTTTCCCAGAATTCCCTGCATGACACTCCACATTTGAAAGTATTTTGTTTAAATAATCATGTTTTTTTAATAGTTTTTGTTATTAGTTATGTATATTTGGGCTTTATGTTACATCTTCTGTTGTTTAATGAAAGTTTAATGCATTATTTAAGTATCATGTGTGTTACCATGATGGTGTTTTGTGTTTGCATGAATGACTCTGTGCACCTTCTATATATTAGTATATACTTCTGCTTGTGGCGAAGCTACTTGTGATGAGCTTTGATTCTTCATGTGGCTTTCTCTTTTACCACCTGCATTATTATGGTGGTTGTCAGTATGTTAAAGGTACAAAACAGATTTGAATAGCAGTGTGCATTGTTGAATTTACTGGTTTACATTCAAATCTTCTTGTTTGTAAATTACAGTTTTATACTGTAAAATTTACAGTTTTTGGCCGTAAATGTGTTTACAGTTTTTCTGTATTTTTTACAAAATTATTCTGGCAACCACGGCTGCCAAAATTATTTTGTAAAAACTACAGAATTTTTTTACAGTGTAGTGGATGATCTGATGGATAAAGGCAATGAGTTCCAGACCGTAGGACCAAGAACTGAAAAAGCCCTGTTCCCTTTAGATTTTAGATTTTGGGACAATCGATAACTTCTGGCATTCTCACAGGAGAATAGAAATGGAGAAGATCTGAAATGTAAACAGGGGCAAGACCATGAAGTGCTTTAAATACAAAAAAACTTAAAATCAACTCTGAATTGAACAGGTAACCAGTGAAGTGAAGCTAACACAGGGGTAATATGCTCCCTCTTTTTTGTCCGTCAAAAAGTGAGCAGCAGCATTCTGTACCAACTCGTATAGTGAAGACTGGTTAATTCCAGCGTAAAGAGCGTTACAGTAATCCAGCCGGGTTGAAATGAATGCATGAATAACAACCTCTAAATCATTAAAACTGAGAAAACCTTTCAGCTTGCGAAGCCCCTTAAGCTGCAAACAACTGGCTCAGAGTTAATTTGTTTGTCAAATTTTAATTCAGGATCAAAAATAACTCCCAGATTTGTAACCTTTGGGCCCAGAGTAGAGCTTAAATTATGTAAAAGGTGAGAAGGGCCAAACAAAATAACGTCAGTCTTTTTTTGATTCAACTGTAGGAAGTGATTTTCCATCCAATTCTTGATGTCCTCTAAACAAGCCAGCAAGGAGGACACTGAATCAACCGGATTTTAGAGGGAAATAAAGCTGAGGATCATCTGCATAAATGTGGTATGAAACTTTATGAGACTCAAATATAAAACGAAGAGGGAGCAAATACAGGGAGAATGAAATTGAAATAGAAGTGCTGCAGTCGTGATGATTAATTGCCCATTAGTTCCCTTGAGATTTTTCTTACAGGTTTCATAATGAGTTTTTTCAATTCAGGAGTAAAATAAGGTCTGGTAAATATATATACTTTTTAAAAACAGTAAGATTAGGTAGTAGGCGTCACTCATACTGATTACA